TTTATGAACATCCTGTTGTCTTGGGCCTCTGTGGAATTTGGGCTCCTCAGGTTTCAACCATGTTTTGACCAAATCTTAGATTGTCTGATTCGGTCTGATATCCTACAGAGCAATGTAAGAGAACCATATGGTAGCAAATCTTATGAGGAACGTATATGGGGTACATTCACACTATCAGTGTTTGGGATTGACAACCCCATTTACTTAGTGTGTGACTTAAAATGTCCTGTTCACACATTAGACATGGCATGACAAAAGTCTAATCAAGGTGCAAGTTCATCCGTCAGATCTTAATTAATAAGCAGAGTCTCAGAGGGTGCAGAGTCACATTCCAGTAGTCGTTGCCATACTGGCCTGGAGAATGATAAACTTCTTTTGATAAATTTCTGTTGAATCTATATCTCACTATCACTCTCTATTGTTTAAAGTGATCAAATATAACTTAACTCCCACCATATTTCTGATAGTATCTACCAAACTAATCGGTCCCACTTTATATTGTGTCCCTAATACCTGTGTACTTACATAGTAACTAGATGTGTACATAGTATGTAACCGCAGTGTACGTACACATTGGTACATAGTATCTACAGCTGTAATGTTTGTGTAACTACACATATGTAACAACCCACTGAATGGTATGTGTAAATACAAATGTGTAACAGGACATTGGTAACAACACTTTTTGATAATGAAAGTACAAATGTGTAACATGACTAACAGCATTCTTTGGTAAATAAAGTGTTACACTTTATATTAAGTAAACCATTCCTTTGGATTTACCATGTAATTACTCTGATGTTACACAGCAGTGGCCAGTAAGTTAGGCTTTACATATAAATTGTGGTTGGTGTCCAGAATGTTACACTTTATATTAAGTGGACCGTTCCTGAGGAGTTACCATATAAGTACACTGGTATTACAGTGGTGCACCAACTCCACCAACTTGAGATCCAACTCCTCCCACCTTACATATCCCTAAACCGACCCATCTCCACCCCTGGATCAAATTGTTCCAATTACTCTTATACATATTGTTGTTACAAAATGTAGTTATACAGGTGCATCTCAATAAATTAGAATGTCATGGAAAAGTTCATTTATTTCAGTAATTCAACTCAAATTGTGAAACTCGTGTATTAAATAAATTCAATGCACACAGACTGAAGTAGTTTAAGTCTTTGGTTCTTTTAATTGTGATGATTTTGGCTCACATTTACTGTGGACTTCAGAAAACACAGTGGACCAACACCAGCAGATGACTGTGGAAACTTCACACTGGACTTCAAGCAACATGGTTTCTGTGCCTCTCCACTCTTCCTCCAGACTCTGGGACCTTGATTTCCAAATGAAATGCAAAATTGACTTTCATCTGAAAAGAGGACTTTGGTCCACTGTGTTTTCTGAAGTCCACAGTCAACGCAGCCATCTGCTGACAAGGTTTATGGAGATTCAGATTGCATTATAGGTGCCTTTTAATGTCTCCTTCCCTATAGGGCTGCGACAATAAATCAATGCAGAATCGAGCCGTGGATCGATTCTGAGATCTTCCAAATGCATCGCGATTCTCTCTGATGCGAGATTAATGTAAACACAGCCCACTGTGTTTCTAAAGCATCCAGTACCATATGCTGTTCAAAACTAAACTCAGAATCAAAGAACAAAGATGTATCCACCTGGGGAATTACATTTTATCCCTTTCCGATGGGGAGGAGATTTAAAACTGCCACCTTTCCATTTTAACAATGTGATTGGTCACTGGTGTTCTAACTTTTCATTTATATTTACACTGGTTTTAAGTAGAAAGTGTTGTCCATCCTGGTGTGAAACTAATTTGCATTGTGTAAAGTATGGAGTTAAAAGAGTGTCTTAAATATTTTAACTACCACTTATTTTTACCAAACCGCTTTTGTAAACTGTAAATGATTACAGTTGTTATGCCGAATACATAGTCCAAACTTAAGAAATTGTTGAATTATCACCACTGGATTCATTGATGTTAATAGGTCTGTTTGCTTGAACAGGGAGTGGACTTATTGTAGTTTTTAAGGTTTCCAAAGATGGGTATGTATGGATTTGGATGTATATTTGTTGCTTCTTTTGTTTTTATTGTTTTAGTCACTGCTGCTGCATTCAAAGTTACTAAGGAATTTTTATAGCATTCTCTGCTGAGTTTGGTTGTTTGCATCAACCTGTTGTTCAGTTACAAATTCTTTCTCATGCAGAGGTGGATGCAACGTGATTTCCCTTCCTGTCCTGTACGAGATGTCTGGCATTTTCTTAGCAGCTTATCTGATGTTGCTTGGCATTTGTTTGTGCTTGTTCACCAAGATCCAGTCACAGTGTGGCACATCTTTCTCTACACTGGTAGTTAGAGAATGGAATGCCATCTCAACTGCTGTACACTACAGCTTTTTTGAGTCATCTATGATAGAGCCCGACTGATTTACCGTTGATTGACCGATAGAGCCCGATTTATCTTTTTATTTAAATTTATTTGTCGCAGATATATCGTATCGGCGAATATGCCACCAATATGAATTTTTTTTTTTTTTTTTACAGAACATATAGATATAGTCCTGGGTAAACGATGAGCGCCGCCATTACGCAGATGAATGCTTCTAAATTGTGTAATTACTTAGTTTGTCCAGCAGAGTGCGCTCCATTGTTTGCTACTGGTGACCCAGGTCACTGTAGTGTAGAGATTCGCAGATGAGCTCAAACGTCACCCGAGTCCGCTGCTTCAAATGATCCACCCGCCACCGGAGCTTATCGCAGCTGTCAATGCTTGTGTTTATACTAGCCACGCCGCCTCCCAGAACTCATGCTTATCACATCGGCCACATCACATTTCCTAAGTCAGCATAGTTTGTCAGTACAGTGAGTAACGTAGCAGATTGAAAAGTTAGTATCTTCCTGCAGTCCAATAGACAGCAGTGAGGTGGTTGCTTGAGTCTGTTGAATGGTGATTTAATGCTACGTTGTCACCTAGTTGGTGAGACGCAATGCTATAATGTAAATAAACAATTTCCCCACCTTTTACTCTGACATTGAACTTATCTTACTCATTTGCTACATTAGTAGGGCCTTATGATTTCCGCGATGCAGAAAACACGGACCGAAGCACGGAATACAGTCGTCATAACTTAATTTACTTTATAACGCAGATTTTCACCGAATTTCATATTTTTGATGAATAAATAAAAAACAGGTCAGTATACTTAAATCAAATCGCGATATAGACTAGTGTCTGTGAATATTAAACTGCAAAAATACTATTTAAAAGGAATCCTCATGTTCTGCGTGTTAATTTTATTACCAGAAAATACACAACACAGAATTTCTGAAAAAAATATTACTCGTTATTATTATTCATTTTAGATGTTTACATTTGGAAAAGCTGTGCTTCCTGCATAAACCTGCCCCTGTTGGATTGACAGTAGCTTGTTGCCCTACACAGTTACCTTGTTTATTTTCTTAATTCAAGTTCCACACTTAATTCAAATATTGCACTCTGCAATATATATATATATATATATATATATATATATATATATATATATATATATATTGTTCTATTTGTGTTTTTGAAGTTATTTATAATAAGTGAACTTTACTGTTAAGTGCACTGATGTCAGACTCATTTTGAATAATA